ACTTATCTGACTTCCTAGGTATCTAAAATCAGCCACTTCTTCTAATTTTTCGTCTCCTATCTTTATATTCGCCCTTTCCCTACTTTTTCTTCCCTTGCATATCAGTATTTCAGTTTTACTTTTATTTATTTTCATACAGTACTGATCTGTCAGTACCGCTTCCATTTTATTTAAAGCTATCTCTAGGTCCTCCTTGCTAGATGCTAATACTGCTATATTTCATTCGTTTAGAGAGTAATAAATATTGCTAAAGGTTTTTATACAGTTTTTATTTATATTCTTGTTAAACCGTAACAGAAATCTGTGGTTCAAATATATCTCATATTTAAATTTAAGTCTTCCTTTCAATTTGTGGGAGTAAAACCTACAAGAATATATTTTTCTCAGCAAATTCAAATGTGTTACATGTAAATGTATGTATATTTACCACCTCGTACGGTGACTCAATAAATTCAATTGGATTCTCTTTCAATTTTTGCAATGATAATTTTCGAGGATATACCTAACGTAACTTTGGCTTTCCTCATCACTTTATATAAGGCCGGGAAAATTTAATTTCGTGCGGCAATATAAATACAATGAATGGGAAAAAGAGAATATTACAATTCATTCTTTATAATGCTTGTTGTTTGGTTCCGCTGATACCAATAAATGAAATTTTAATGAAATGTCTCTAATACTTTTTGAATAATTCAATGTGAATATGATTAATAAAAGACGCTTTAATGTAGAAGGGTTTTCCGTTTGTTTCGATGACAACATCCTTGGGGAAACAGATATCATAAAGAAATATAGAATTAGAGTTATTGTGTTTCGGATACATCGGTATGAAATTCTTTTCTGCTTGTGCCATAACGAACGAATAAAAAAGATACAAATAATGTTTATAATTGTTACATGATTTCTCAATAAACATATTCAGAACAAACCAATTTGGTCTAGCCACTAGACTAGTGAATGTTCTGAGAAGAAAAGTTTTCAAAAACCGTATTACCTTGTTAAGCGATTTTCCGTGAGAGTTTCATTTAATCCGTTTATTAAAATTTAATGATTTTGGGTGCCCCAAACAAAAAAAAAGCCAAGACATCGTACGCTCATGTTTAATAATTTGTTGATGTTCTCATTAAAAAGTTTTTCGTTCAACTTTGTTGTCAAAATGCCCCAGTAAAAAACAGCCGCCACTGCTTTCGTTATGGGATGATTACTTCAATAAAAAAAGGAGGGCAACTGAAAATTATGATAATAATTAAGCAGCCTTTAGCTTACCTACTTCTTAATTAAAAAGTATCGTTTGTTATCCAAGAAAATTTATTAATACAGCAAGGGTATTTTGCTGCTGAGATGATTAACTAAATTATTGTTTGATCGTTAATTACTTGATAATTATCTGAAAATTACTTTACTAGGAATTGAACAGATACTTAGTATTATTATGGAATAAACTTCTGTAACAATAAACTTTCGTTATAAAATAGCTATAGTTTAATGTCATTTTTTGTATAAATTCATTAATGTTAGAGGTAATGCGCCTAAGTACCTAAAAGTAAGTTGAAATTTAGTCCTTCTACAATAATTTTTATTGTAACTTTAAAGTCTTGTTAGATTAATATTAATTTCAAAAAGTTTTTAACAGAAAGTTAAATATAACCACTGATTAAAATCACTGTTAATCCTTTACAATCCAAGTTTGGTTTTCTACTACATCCCATGAGTATTATTCATAAATATTCATTAAGGATTTCAATTTGGAGCTTAAACAGATATCTTGTCTGTCTAACGGTATTTCTAAGTACGTATATATCGTAGGTACCTATTCTACAATTGAGACAAATTGTAATTTGTCTTCTATAGAAGGATACTATTCCTGCGATGTTAAACCCGAACCGGAACGCCCCTGTAAGAATTGATTTATTTGTTAAAGCTGATCCCAAACCTTGTTATCAGGATCTCAACGTTTCTCTTAAAAAAATCCAATGTGACGTGCCAATTGTCCCAAAATATTCAGGGTAGACCAATTTAAAGGAACAAAAGGTCCTTGATAAATAGCATTCGTAGTGTAAACTCTTTTGAAATATAAACAGAAGAAAAATATATATTTAAATTGGGTAATTGATTGAAGATTTCTTTTGCTTTTCCGTCTATGTCTCCTTTGATGTGGTAGTAAATTACTTAGTATTCAATTTCATTTTAATATTCAATACCTATCTCATTATATGTGATTCTGGATCTGGAAAGATTGCCATTTTATTTTTATTGACAAAACCCAGTGGCCAATGTTAATCTCTTAAGCTAATACCGTCGCTTTTATTCGATTTGTTATTGGGCTCTGAAGCGATTTTTCGCTCGCTCTGGTACTCTTCAGATAAAGCTTTATTGCAAGCAACTTTTATATCTCTGCAAAATTCTTTTAAAGGAACGACTTTACGAGAAATTGTACATTAATGCATTACGGTAGATATTAGTTCTGTAACTTTCTTTGGCTTGTCTTCGATCCTGAATATTAAGATTTTTGGTACATTATTGTAATTTAAATTTGCGGAAAATTGGCGTAGTTAAATAAATTGCAGACTGGCTTTCTATCTTCGGTTACACTTACCTCAGTTCGAACCCACCCGTACTTTCATGATGGAGTCATTATGGAGCCATTATGGATCCATCTTAAAGTCACTATGAATTCACCATGGAGCTATCGCGGATCCATTATGGATATAAAATAAGTAGTCATAGCAATTTATTATGAATTCATGAACCTCCATAGATTCTTCGAGCCATCATGAATCCATAAGGATCCAATCATGGAACCATTGTGCTTTTATTATGGAACCATTATGTTTCCGTCTTGGGGTCATTATGGATTCGTCCTAGAGACATTTGTTGATTATCATGAAGCCATTATGGGTCCATTATGAATCCACCTTCAAGCCACTATGGATTTCTAATGGAGTCATTACGGATCCATTATGAACCCATCATGGATATCTTGGAGCTATCCTCAATCCATGCTCCAGGAACAATTATGAAGTTATTATGAAACCATAATGGAGCCATCATGGATCCTTTATGGAACCATTGTGGATCCACTAAGGAAATCTTTGACGATCCATAATAATCTTATTTGATAATGTTTAAAAGATTAACGAAGTATCACATTTAGTACTGCGATGTTAGCTCCTTATGATAAAGATTCATCTAGTGAAAAAATATGGAAGGATACTTTCAGTGTAAGGCTTCAGTTTTTTATATTTCTGTGTATTAATTAAAGACTTTTTACATAGTTAAAAAAGACATCCACAGGAAAAGTAGAAAAAGCTCAAAAGGATAAACTGATTAAAAGGAACTCTAAGAAGAAATTGAGAGCGAAGTTCAAAAACAAAGATTCTAGTATAAAAAAGGAATATCCCAAAATAAATCATGAGAAAAATAATGTAGATAAGTTGCAAGTAAATAAGAAGCAAAATCCAAAGAAAAGAAAGAAAGAGCAGCACAATCTGCAAACTAATTCAAAACCTAACAATGCAATTAATAATTATAATAAACAGATTAAGAGCAGTCCAAAATTTAAGAGGAGTCTAAATAAAACAGTAACTGCCATCAAGAACAAAACCTTATTGAATACTAAAACCACCAAAACAGAGATAAAACTTACAAAATTTAAAGAAAAACTAAAGCAGCCCCTTATTAAAGATAAAGTTCAATTACAACTTCCACAAGCTTCTAGAAAAAGCCTGAAAAGTATGAGTCTCAGAGAAAAAATGATGGCAAAACTTAAAGGTGCAAAATTTCGTTACCTTAATGAACAGATGTATACTAGTGATGGAAAAACTGCCCTTCAGTACTTTGGAACTGATCCTGAAAGTTACAAAGCTTATCATGAAGGATATCAGCTGCAGGTTACTAAGTGGCCCCTGAATCCTTTGGATATCATTATTAGAAACATAAAAAGAATGTAGGTTGTTATGTTAGTAACTTTTATCTTTGAATATTAATTTATAAGTAATTCTAGGATAGATACAGTTACTTACGAATTAATAATAATAAAATTTAAATAATCGAAAATTGAACAGTAAACAGTCTCATCTTCATCCTTTAATCTTGGATAAATACTGTTATCAATACAGAAATTAAAATTGCAATAATATAATCAAATGGAATAATATTTATTTTGTCTATTCGAAAATGATTTCATGCAAAGAGATTACCTGTATTAGTCCAGACAAAACAAACAACCATTAGATTATTTAAAATAGGAAAGTGCAAAATGAAATAACTTCCAATATCAATACCAAGTACCTACCTTTAGATAATCATTCATAAAATCTTTTGTAGCTCATTTCAAATGTGCATTGATTACAGTTCGTTGTTATATGCACATATCACAACGTCGTAAAATTAGTATTGAATAGTTTTTTATTTAATTTTCGTAATTAAATAATTGTATACGTTTTGATTTATTTATTATTTGTACAGGTACGTTTTCTTATCGTTTTATTTATCTTCTGCTACAATTTCTATTTTTTAGCTAGAGGATGGAATCCCCTTTAAATTTAAAATTTCTTCCCGAAATTTTGGCTAACTATGGAGAAAATAAAGATTGCCTTAATACAGCTACAAAACTGGAAAACTTAAACCAACAACTTGTAATTCAAAATCAGACCATAATGCAAGTTTCAAAAATTATCGCACTTTGTAAAACCAGAGAGAAGAAAGTACAGAAGAGCAAGGAGTATATCGAAGCTGAAAAATTGCTACTTTTCCTTAGTACGTTCTTTTTTTTTCCACTGTAACTATTAATTCTAAAGATTAACTCTATTGTGTAGCTCATAGGAAAAAAGCGCTTGTCGAAGAAATAAAAAATATAATGGAAAATCAAAGTGAAGAGGAAAACAGCAACTATTCCGGATACATACGCGTATGGAACTTGAGATTTTCAATCAATAATTTAAAAGCTCCTGCTGTTTCAAAGAAGCGAAATCAATTTGAAAAATCGTATGTTTGTATTTTCACCTGTGGACTCGACGTAATATGCTCAGAAATTCAACGAAAAGACGATTCATCTAAACTACAATTTCAAAAAGAGTTTGAATTTTTCAATTTGAAGTCAAACTTCGAAATAAAAATGTATTTGTACTTTTTGGAAACGAAGAAATCCTGCGCAAAAAGTTCCCATCAAAACATGTTCAGGGTAAGTCCCCAGGTGATTATTTTCAGATGATATTTGTTTGAATTTTAATGTAACTAATAATACATAACATTTTTTGTTTTTTATTTTAGAAGAAACAATTTCGTCCAAACTTTCGCAAAATGTTAAAATGGAACCATATTCCGCACTGGTATGACCTATCTTCAATTTACCAAATATCATCGTCGTCTTTTATTTGTTGTGGTTCTTTTACATTAAATTCTACAACTTTAACAAAAAAACATTTATCGCCATTTAAACTGGATAATTTTAGTATAGCAAATGCTCTAGATATAAGTGTAAACATGGCCATTAACTCCATGGTAGATATTTACGAAGAACAATCTGGATTTGTTACCATTGGATATGAAGTTGGAGGAAGTTTGTCTTGGGATAGAATGTGGTGTTACTTAGAAGGATCAATTATCAAACAAAAGAACTATCCATGTGATGATAGCATGTTACCGTTTACTCATAATATTGATCTAGCACTTTGCGTTAATTCCCGAATTTGCGAAGCTTGTAGAGAGCTTTGTTCCAAGTCTAAAACGTTATTGATAGAAATAACTCCCAATGAAAAACTTTCTACTGAAGAAACTATTTTTGTTAAATATTTTTTGTCTTTTGATACATTAGCAGACATGAAAAACTGGAAAATTAAACTTAACTCGGTGCTTTCCCATTTACGAAATTGGAATTCGATGAAGTATACGTTTTGATTTATTTATTAACATTTAATGACTTTAATATGTATTATTGTAATGTACTTTAAGAAGTTATTTGCCCTATAAATGATTTAAAAGCCTTTTTATATGATTGTTCAATAATTTTACTACTACGTATGTTCTACTAAATTAATTAATTATTTAGCTTTATCTACTTATGTACTTTGTAGTTTTAAGATGTAATATAAATCATAATGCAATAAATTGTTTTAAAATCTTTATTTTTATTTAAATGTAATTTGTTGGAAATGGTTCACATATATATTATTTAGTGGCTAAATAAATGTTGACTCAATAATGCTGGGAAGTTCGTGTACGATGTTCACATCAGTAAGCTTTTTAAAAATGAGATGAATTTGGGGCATACTCTGTTTAATTATGCATAAAATAAAGAATTTACATAATATTTAGACTGTTTATGCTGATATTAAAATAATACTACTATTGTTGAAAAGTACTACAGACAGTAAAGGTGAAAAATTAATTTTTATAGAAAATTTTTGCAGGTTAGATCCTGAAACTACAAGTTTTTGAGATTTAAAAGTAAAATATGAAGGTGTTTCATACTCCTAATTGGGATAAAGATTCATCTAGTGAAAAAATATGGAAGGATACTTTCAGTGTAAGGCTTCAGTTTTTTATATTTCTGTGTATTAATTAAAGACTTTTTACATAGTTAAAAAAGACATCCACAGGAAAAGTAGAAAAAGCTCAAAAGGATAAACTGATTAAAAGGAACTCTAAGAAGAAATTGAGAGCGAAGTTCAAAAACAAAGATTCTAGTATAAAAAAGGAATATCCCAAAATAAATCATGAGAAAAATAATGTAGATAAGTTGCAAGTAAATAAGAAGCAAAATCCAAAGAAAAGAAAGAAAGAGCAGCACAATCTGCAAACTAATTCAAAACCTAACAAAAGTGTTGCC